CTTAATGGTGTGCTTGATAACTTTGTTTACAACCTCTACTTGACTATTGGCTTGAGGCCGATAAATAGCAGCAAAGCTCTTCTTAATACCAAGCTGTTTGCAAAAAGATCTGAAGTTCTTATTGTCAAACTGTTTTTCGTTGTCAGTTATTATAGTGTAAGGGATTCCGAACCTATAAATGATGTTTTGTAGATGAAATGCTTTAGCTTGTTCGACATGATGATAGCTAAAGGCTCGACTTCGGCCTACATGATTAAGTAGTCCACGACAACCACTGTGAACTTAACACCCCCTTTTCTTTGAGGTAGAGGGCCTATCAGGTCGATACCCTTGATTGCGAATGGCCAGGAGCTTGTTAGTGTAGTTAACTCTTAGGGCGGAGCTCACAGAACATCTGCAAACCTCTGGCATTTATCGCATCTGCGCACATAGTCTGTTGCATTGTCAAAAACTATTGGCCAGTAATAACCTTGAAGAAGCACTTTGTATGCTATAGATCTGCCCCCTGCATAGTTTCTATAGATGCTCTCATGAATCTCTCTCAGAACATAGTCCGCACCTTCATGGTCAACACATTGCAATAGCGATGAATTGAACCCACGCTTATATAACTAGTCATTGATGAGCATGTATCGAGCTGACTTTGTGTGAAGTGCTATAGCCTCATTTCTTCCTTCTGGCAATGTTCCATCCCTTAGGTAAGCAATGATTGCATCCATCCAACTGTATCTCCAACTCGTTGCTAAGAGTGGTTCTTGTGGAGCGGAGATGCTTGGACTTGGGAGGAACTTAACTGATATCGAATTAGCTTTCTCTTGGCACATTGTAGTAGCTAGGCGGGCTAGAGTATCGGCTATCGAATTCCTCTCCCTTGGGATCTGAAGAACTGTGAAGGATTTGAACTGCTTAAGCTCGAATTTCACCAACTGGAGATGGGATGCCATTCTATCCTCCTTCACCTGGTACTCCCTGGTAATCTGGTGGACTACGAGCTGGAAATTACTGTAAATTTTGATGGACTCTACCCAATTTCCTTGGGGAGGCGGATCCTTGCAAGCAATGCCTCGTACTCAGCCTCATTGTTGGAGGCAACGAACCCGAATCTTACTACAGCTTTGATCGGGTTTCCTTCGAGACTTTCGAGTAATAGCATCGCTCCTACCCCCTTCTTATTTAAAGATTCATCTACATACAAAGTCCACTGCCATAGGTTGTCGAGCTTTGGCTTCTGTTGTTTTTTTTTCACCTAAGGTATTTGCCCCTAGTGGGCTTATTGCCCTTCTGGCTGATAGGAGAATTCTGATATAAAGTCCGTCAAAGTCTGACCTTTGATTGTCATTCTCGGGATGTACTTGATATCATGTTGACTTATTTCCATCGTCCACTAGATCAATATGTCTGATGCATCAGGCTTTTGCATTATCTTCCTCAACGGAAAGTTTGTTAGCACATGAATGGAGTGTGCTTGGAAATAAGGCTGCAACTTCCTAGCGGCAATGACCAAGGCATGGACGAGCTTCTCCATTTTGGGGTATCTTGTCTCCGCATCGAGCAACCTTTAGCTCACATAGTATACCGGCCACTACACTCCCCTTTCTTCTCGTACCAAAGTCGCGTTGATAGCAGACTTTGATACGATAAATATAACAACAGTAGTTTCCCTGGACGGGCTTTGATAACAAAGGAAGTTGTCTCGGATGTTTCTTCAGCTCCTAGAAGGCTCTCTCGTACTCCTCCGTCCACTTGAAACCCTTCTTCTCCTTCAAGGTCTCAAAGAATGGTAAGCATCTGTCCGTGGCTCGAGAAACAAACCTGTTGAGTGTGGCCACACACCTTGTCAAACTTTACACCTACCTTATGCTGATCGGGGCTTTTCATTTCTAGAAGAGCTTGAATCTTCTCTAGGTTGGCTTCAACACCTCGCTCATTTACAAGGAACCACACTTTAAAGAATTGAGCTTCATTCTATATTTTATGAGGATGTCAAACATTTTCCCCGAATGCTCGATGTGGCTTTCAGCAACCTTTAATTTGACGAGCATATCGTCGATGTACACCTCCATAGTTTTGCCAATTTGATCGGCAAACATCTTGTTCACCAAGCATTGGTAGATCGCCCCAGCATTTTTCAGGCCAAACGGCATAACCCTATAACAATAAATCCCATGGTTAGTAATAAAGGACGTATGTTCTTCATCGGACTGATACATCTAGATTTAGTTATATCCCAAGTATTCATCCATGAAGTTGATTAGTGCGTTTCCATCTGTCGCATCTACTAACTAGTCGATCTGTGGGAGCGGAAAGTTGTCTTTGGGACAGGCTTTATTTAAATCAGTGAAGTCAACGCAAGTCCGCCACTTACCATCGACTTCTTAACCAGGACTAGGTTGGCGAGTCAATCCAGGTACTTCACTATTTTGATGAAGTTGATGTTCAGAAGTTTGTCAACTTCATCTTTGAGCGCTTTAGAACGCTCTGCATCCATAGACCTCTTTTTCTGTCTTACTAGTCGAGTTGTTGGATCGATGTTCAACTTGTGGCACATTACCTCGAGGTTGATCCCCACCATATCCGCATGCACCCATGCCAGCACGTTGAGGTTTTTCTTCAGAATCCCCACCAGATTATCAGCCATTTCTTTGCTCAGGTTGTTACCGACCTTCAGTATGCAAGTTGGATCTTCCTCATTAACGCATATTTCTTGCAGCTCTTCTGTTGGCCCTGCTACGAGCTCTTCTCTATGGATGTAAGGATCTATGGTATCCTCGAGAGGTCTGGGGTATGGCTCAAATTCTATAATGACCATTGTCTTGGGGAGCAATCATTTTAGTGTAGCATTTATGGCTCGGTTGTAACATTCCCAAGATTCTTTTCTGCAGCTTTTAATCATCGTGACTCTCCTAGGAGTCAAAAACCTCATTGCTTAGCGGCGCACTGATATGACTATGCTCAAGTCATCCAAGATCGGTCTTCTGAGTATGACATTGTACGTGGTTGAGTAGCCTACCACTAAGAATTCAGCCATCACCGTCCTGATTTTAGGTTCTACCCCCAGAGTCAAGGAAAGGTCAATCATTCTTTCGGGGACTAGGCTGTCCCCGGTGAATCCATAGAGTGGCGAAGGACAGGCCCTCAAGTCTCTCTCTGTGAACCTCATTTCTTAGAAAGCTCCCAAGAAAATGATGTTCGCTATACTTCCATTATCGACCATTACCCTTAGCCATCTAGAATTACCAATCTTGGTTGTGATTATGATCGCATCATGATTATGGTGAGAGGATTCTTTGCATTCTTCGACCGTGAATCCTACCACCTTGCTCTCTTGCTGGGTCGCTTTGGCGATTTTTGTTCACAGCTTGTTACCCAGAGGACCGAATCTATTCTGGCCTCTCAAGTGTATTGCTTAAGAGTACGCCTTGAGCTCCCCACTATGTCGAGCCCTTCATAGATCATGCCCACCTAGACATCATTGTTGGTGTTGGCCGGGGCTTACTGGACCTAGTTATTTTGCTCATCAGCATTTTTGCAAGCTGGTGCCTCCTGAACAAATTCTTTTAAGTGGCCTCTTCGTATCAGGTCTTCAATGACATCGTTTACAGCTCGACACTCGTTGGTATTGTGCCCGAGGTGCCCGTGGTATCGGCAATATTTTTTTCGATCTCTTTTGCCTAAAGCCCCCCTCATTCTTTCTAGAGTAGGCAGTCTCTTTGCCTCACGGGAGACTTCGTAGATGTGGGCTATGTCTTGCGTAAGGGGGTATATTCTGCGTATCGTGGGAAGAGTTGTTTGTCCCCATGGTTATCTGCTTTCTACCTTTTATGGGACCTATTCCGATCCCTATCATTATGGTCTTGGCCCTTCCGCTTATCTGATAGGCGATCTTGCTATCTGTCTGAGGCTCTTCGTAACAAGTTTCTGGCTAAGGCTATTAACGAGCTTTCTACTCACTAGTGCTTTGCAACAATTTGATAAATCTTTGTCAGGCTCATGTGATCTTCACTTTGGAGTTCTTTCCACAACTCTATGTTTGGCCTGATGCCTGCAATTAGCAAAGTCCAGATTAACTATTCGGGTGCATCTACGACCTGTGCCTGCTCGTTCTGGAACCTCGTCAAGTACAAGGTCAATGTTTCGTCTCTCTCCTAACGAATGTTGCTCAAATAATTGAGCAGCATTGCACATTGTCTCCTCGCTTGAAATTGCTGCAAGTACAATTAGGAGAATTGTTGCCAAGAGTTGATAGAGTTTGCCTTGAGTCTTTTGTACCACCTCTTGGCATCCCCTACCAATGTAACCTTGAAGCAGCGACACTTCGCCAAGTCACAGACTTAGTGCAGCTCTATCAGGTCATTGAAAGTGTCAAGGTGGTCTCTAGCGTCTCATCTCCCATCGAACTTACTTTCTAACACCTTAAATCCTTATGGAAGAGGGGCCTGGCGAACCTCGTCTATGAAGGGAGAGCTCACTATTTCTTCCACAGCGTCGTTCTAGCGGGCTTTTAGGTTGTTGAGCATTTTCTGCACACGATCTAAGTTTCGTTGTGATTGCCCTGGCTGGCTCCGTTCAACCTTACCCTGAGCAAGTGAGTTCGTAAATTTGTTGCTTGTGAACCCCCTCCATTATGCACATTGACGCACGAAGTTGAATCATGGTGGCTTGGTTGATAAGTTTTATCATGCTCGTCAGTATGTTGCTCGCTACATCGGTTATAACCGGAACGTCGGTCATTGCCAAATTAGCGCACATGACTCGTCTCGAGAGCTTGCGAGGATCAAACTTGTATTGGGCGTGGGTTAAGACTGGCACGCTGATGTTAGGCATATCATTGAGCAGGTCGAGCGTCTCGTGGGCGACCATTACCTTTGCTTTCACCCATTGGTTGTTTCCCTGGCTGCCTCCCAGGGTTAGTTTGCCCGCAGGATTCACACTCATGAGCGAAGTGTACTCTGTGATGTCAAGGGTGTTGGTCGCCCCTTGGAGGCGATGAGCCAGACTGGTCACCAACTGAATTCTGACCTGTCGGCGATATCGGTCAAGCGTGGCTGGTCAAGGTTTTGTAAGGTTGGTTGCTGATTCCTCAACTCAACCACATTCTGTTGCACCACTTGTGCAACCATTGTTCTAATCATCTCCACCAGCTGGCTGTTTTTAGGGTTTAACGTCCCTGCTTCCTGGTTATTCACAACTTGTTGGGTTGGCAGCACTGGTGGTCGACACCCAGCGGTGCCCTGTTGCACCTCCTGATGGGTGGTCTCCACATTGTCGTGGTTTCTGGTGGTGGTTTTCGATCTTGTACGCACCATCATGGGCCCGGATTGATTAAATCATCGTGGCTATTTGCCAAAAATTTTGAGATGTTGGCGAAGGTTCAAGCCTTCCTTCTAACGCCAAAATATTGATACAGAAATCTGCACCAATTAAAGTGATCTGATCGACCTTGGCGGGACCAAAACTTGTGTGTGAGTGATTACGGATAACCAACAGTGAATGAATAATGAATGCATCAAAGTAAATGGCAAAGAGATTTTCAAAGTGATTCGGCAAGATGAACTATTGAGCCTACATCCACTGTTTTTTGTATTTGCTATGAGAGCTTACAATAATAATCCTAGAAATATTTTCCAACCCCTTTCTCATCTTTTGAGGGGGTTTATATACAGAGCTTGTACAAAGGAAAGAGCGAAAATAAAGGGATTACAATTATATTGAATGCAACTCCGATATTCTCGCAATTGGGTGCTATGATTGCTCAAAGATTGCTGTTAATCTGATCCTTACCGAGATATTTGGGATCTGAAGTTATTTAGGAATTGGTTGAACAACCGCAAGGATTAGTTACGACTAGCTTGTGCTAGATCGAGCTATAGTCCAACGAGCTTATGATGGGTCGAACAATCGGTATAGTCGAGCTGGTTCTAGATCGGGCTATAACCTCGCGATACTCCGAGCTTGATGGAAAAACCACACACAACACTCTATATCTATAAATTATAATTTGTAATGGGTTTCTTATGTAATCAAAGCTTTTCAGAAAATATTTCATCCAGTATTACAAATATTCAAAGAATTGAATACCAATCCTAAAATAAACCTTCAAATTAATATAATGTGTACATATTTTCAGTGACATATAGGAGATGGACAAAGTTTCTTTTATTTTGTTTTAATTAGGTTAAAATAAAAGTAAAAGTAAAATAAGAAGAGAACAACAAAAATATAAAAGAAGTATTGGTATTTGAGGACCATATGGGATTTTCCCAAAGCATCTAAGACCTTTGTTTTCTCTTCAGCCTCTCTGAGTGATCTAATTTCTGCTTTCACCCTATGTTGTATCTCTAACTTCAGAATTTTCTGAGCTGCTTCAGATGCCTCAATTGCAGCCTTATATTTTGCTTGGTCCCTTTCCTCAGCAAGCAGTAGCTCCTGTAATCTTTTCTCTTCTTTCATTTTCCATTGCTCCAATTGAATTGCCTGTTTAATTAAGTTGCATTTAGACACTCAACGACAATCTATGCATGCTCGAAACAGAAAGTTTCAGGCTATACTGTACTGTTTCAATTTTTAGTTTATATGCAACATAATTATTAGATGTTAGCTTACATATATTGCGCAAGTTTTGACATAATTTTGAATTACGAGATTAATGTTTTTATATAGCTAATATTAAATATAATTTTTTTTCATATTAATTAATGTGTATTAATTGTTCAAACTTCAGCAATATTCAAAGTACATATTGATTTAATAAACTCAAAATTTGTGTCCAGAAATGATGTTGACTTAAACTCTGTACTTAAAATCCAGACTTCTGCTCATGGATATAAAAAGGTATTTCATACACTTCCTTGTGAGATTGTTTAATATTAAGTATACTCAAAGTTATGGGAAACTATAAATAGAACCCCTTATAATTATTTAAAAAAACCCCTAGAGACGGGGGTTTAATAATTATAGGGGGGTTTATAAATTTTAATAATTTAAAAAGGGCATTTAATAATTATAGGGGAGTTTATAAAATAAACCCCATAATAAACGATCGATCCCACAAGGGGTATATAAAATAAACCCCATATAAAAGCTAACTTTAATTAATATGAGTTGATAATACGTAGCTCGCGAAATTTTATTAATTGAATCTTAAATGACCATATTTACTTCACGACTGCTGTTGGCTCTTAAATATATTCATTGTTTGGTTGATATTCTAAATTTTACATTCTAAATGATGTGGTTTTTTGGCTCATATCAAACAGCTTTATATTTTAATACAATATCTTGAATATTGGATGAAAATAATAACAGATTATAAAACAATAACAAAATAAAATTAATGTGTAATATATATGAGTGTGTGAATTATGCATCGAAGATATAAGATATTAGAAAAAAAAAAAAATAATGGGAAGAGATACATTACTCTTTAAGAAGTAAAGTTTGAAAATTTTCAGTACCTTATCTTTGGCAGCTAGTGTTTCTTTGTAGAGTGTATGGTACATTTCCACTGTTTGCTTAAGCTCCATCTTAAGCCGTTTAATCTCCTCATCAGTATCATCCTGCAAATTAATTACGTGAAATAGAAAGTAAAAATATAAATAATAAGCCTTCAATAAAGCAGATATTATATATTTAAAATTTTATAATTCTATTTTTAATTGGAAATTAATAGAGGACTAACCGTATTCTGAGAAGAATCAGAAGCTCTTTCACTGTCAAAAGAGCCTGATGGAATTTCAGAAAGAGAATTATGTGGAGCCCTGGAGGATGCTGAATTCCTTGAAGGATTCATTCCCAGATTTTCATAGAAGGCGAAAAAAGTGCTATCCGTGCTTGGCCTTCCAGAATTTATATACGAGTCCCCTCTCTCTGGAGCTGAAAACTCATCACACCTGCTTAATTCCAGAGAGTAATTATATCAAAAGTCACTTTCTAGTTAGGACGTTTTAGTATAAATTTTTTCAAGATTATGCTTAACATTGTTAGATTTATCTTATTGGACTAAAATGATATTTTATTGTTCAAATCCAATAATATATGTGCATAATTCTGACAAAATTATAGTAGGACAACTTGATTAGAGAATTACTGATTATATCAAAAAAATTTGAGAAAGAAGTGATAGTTATAATTGTAATACAAGTAGAAAATTAATGCTTACGCTATAGTGACTTCTTCATTGGAGATGTTTGTAGGGAGGATTTGAGGGTGTGGTACTTCTCCAGCTAAAATAGGTGGGAATGGACGAGTGGCAGATCGTGCAGCATGACACTTTCCTTTTGAAACAATATATACATTGCAAAAATCGGGTGCCCATTTCATTACTGTACTTGGAATATCTGTAGCCTTGAATAGTCTGCAAAATGCATTTATATTTGGAAGAAAATATAATAATTTTAATTTGACGGAAGTCGGGGCTCTACAAATAAATAGAAGATTAAGTTTTTATAATACCATTTGTTGCAGTCTCACATCAACTAGGCATGCTCAAGCCTACTGATTTATAAGAGAGATAATCCTCCTAATCAACAAGGTTTTATTGGGTGAAGAGTCAGTCCACCTCAAATTCTATCATGATATCAGAGTCAGGTTCAGTTGAACTGAGTATTTGACTAGCATGTGAGGAGTTAGAGTAAACAACTACTTTCATCAACAACATGATCGAACATATGAGTTTGACCGTGAAGAAGAGTGTTAGAGTCTCACACCAACTAGACACACTCAAATCTACTGGTTTATAAGAGGAGTAAACCTCCTATTTAACAATACCTTACTAGATGGGGAATCAAACCCACATCAAATTCTATCACTATTAATTTTTGGATGTAAGGTCTATACGTCAGTAACAACACCAGAATTTATGTCGCTCGAAATTCCCACAGAAACCATGTTTGCAGAAAACAATGATGTTTTGGCGTAGGGAGTACTTCCTTCTCTTGTAGTGATCATCACAGAAATAGTTTTTGGTTTTTCATTTTCCAATTTACAAAATGCCAAAACTTATTTTTATCTCAGATTTTTACTTGTAAAATATCAAACTTAGTCACCTTTCGCTCTCTCATCTACGTCTAATTCTTTCCATTTCTTATTGCACTTGTGTTGGATTTCCAAGACGAAAAAAGGGCTTTAATTACTAATTACATTAAAAAGATTTTCAGAGAGAAAATTCTTCAAAATAAACAAGGGTAATTTACCTGGTGAGGCCATTCTTTGATGGGGAACCAAGCAACAATGTTTTGACTGCATGATTGGAAACGTATTCGATGAGCGCTCTTGCCACATTCTGATGCTGAAGTACTACCAATTCACATTGTAACTGAAAAATTAATTTAAATACAACCACTGGATTAAGGACTACAAATTTCATCTACCAATTTATCATAAGAAATAATTAAGCAGGGTTTTTACATTTCTGCGCGTACAAAAGCAACGAAATGGAAGAAAGACATCCATGGTTTGATTATCAGGATGCTGTTGAATCAGTTCCTCATCATTCCCTCCTGCATTCATGCCAAGAAAGAAATAAATATATATTTACTAATTAAGAAGAATTATATATATATATATATATATTTTATTTATGAAAATTCTCCTACACAGATGTCATGAAATTTTTAACATGTTGAAGAAATGTGAGCACGGGTTTGTGTCCGCACATTAAAAACTTTCATAACGTCCACATTAAACTAATATATGAAAATTCTCCAATAGAGAATGACTAACATATGAAATTTATTTTCAATGTGGACATCTGAAATTTTTAATATGCAGACAAAGGTGACCATCTAAGTTGTTGGCTTTTGATTTTAGGATTTGTGAAGTGAGCGATTAGACGCTCTCACCAATAACAACTTCAGGATGTTTGCATTGAAGAATATATGTATGTATCCCAAAGCTAATTCGTTTATCAAATCAAATATAATATATAAATGAGAAAAGTGAGAAAGAGAGACCTGATCGATGAAGAACATGGATGAGTTTGACGGTTTGGTTTCTGCGGAGAAGATGTTCAGCAGCCCATTTGAGAGCATATTTGCTGAATTTATCTTTGTCAACTGCCACTGCCACTAATCCATCTCTTCCTGATTCCCTTCTTTCTTCATTCCTTCGATGATCCAACATCTCTTTCTAATTTTCTCTAACTTGCCACCCTAATTGTTGCATTAGTTCATCATGATCGATGATTGAGATCCAACAAAACTATGAAAATACAGCACCTCTCCTTTCCCATCTCATTAACCAATGAATGGATGATTGTAATTAAGGGTCTAATCTTATGCTAATAAAAGTTTTACCAAACATTAGTTAGAGAGTCCATGTTTCAAGGGCAGTTACGATTATACATTTTAATAAATCAGCTTTCATCCAGTAAAATTACCAGCCTTCTCTTGCCACCAAAATCTATAATGCTTTAACAATAAAATATTGTTAAGAAAATAGATTAATAACTCAAAACAAGGGTAAGTCTATGAAATCATCTGATCTTATTAACGTGGTATCACAAGACAATACATGCATAAATTCATTTAAAGTGGTAATAACTCCGTTGTGTTCTAGATTTTTTCTATCTCAAAATACAAATAATCTGTATCATTTTTTAAATAATTAATTATTCTGTATTGCTACTTGTTAGTCAATAGTTATTAGTTAGTTAATAGTTTATTTAAAAATTAAAGGGTAATTTTCCTTAAGATGTCATTTCGTTCCTTGAAACAATTTAGCATCCTCTTATTTGAAAAATAGTCACAAACCTCTTTCTATTATAATTAGAATTAACAACTTTTTCCCACCCAAATAATGGCTTAATTACACTTTCTTACCCACATATTTTTAAAATACTAATTTACTATCTAAATTTATATTCTGATGGCAAACAAAGAGCAAACTCAATCCAGGTTGTTAAGGCTTTTGAAGAAGGGAGGCCAACGAGTCTTTTGATGGTAGAAGGTTATATTTTGGTAGTTGGGATTTATCAGAATTTGACTTGGGAGCATGGTTGTTAGTATCCTACGATATGCGATACGTATCCTACGATACGATTCGATACGGGTCGCTAACGATACGTATCAGAGAGTGTATCCTAAACCTTTCAATACATTGATATGTATCCTACGATACGATACATATCCATTTGTATCCTTAAAAATATCGATACAAATTTATTAATTTGGGTCAAAGATCCAAAAAAAATTTCAGGTTGAATCCGGGTCACCCAACCCGGTTCACTAAAATCTCCCCAAATTTATCCATTTTGTATGGAGAAAGTAAAAAGGAAGATGTGTTGCTCATTTTGTACGATAATAATAACACAAGTGGAGATATAGATATTAACATTAATCTTAGAAATAATATGAATGGTTGAGAGGAAATGATATAGATTCTTAATTTTGATTATGTAATACCATAATTTAAAGTCAATAATACTACAAAATTTGTTAATTAATCATGAGGATGATATTAATTTTTAGAAATTTTTTATTATTTTATTAATTTTTTGTAAAAGGCGTATCCTACGATACGATACGCGATACACGATTCGAAAAATTAGGTTTTCGATACACAATTTGACAACCATGCTTGGGAGAGACAATTGTGCCAACTCTAATCACTCGATTGTCGACGATTGGTAGAGTCGACAAGAGTAGGGATTGAGGAGTTTTGAAAAGTGATGATTGAGGAAAAGAATGGTAATGGTGTGAGATCACAACGATGCTGGAAACGGAAATGGAATATAAATTTAGGTAGTAAAATGGTATTTTAAAAGTCTATGGGTAGGAAAATGTCGGATGGGAAAAGTCATTTACTCTTATAATTATTATATCATTATTATTTTTACTAATGAATTAAAATATCATAATACATATCACTTCTAATCTGAACTTATATTTAAATATTAAATATATTAGACCAAAATTAAATTTAAGAATATATCAACTAATTATAACATAACACTCTTTAAATTTTCATAGTGCATATATTATAAGTAAAATCTAATTATTTACCAATAAATTAAAATTTGAATAATATAAATATAAATATTAAATTTATTTCTTTATTGGTTAAAGATTTAGTATATTTTAGCTTATAACGTATATGTTGACATTGGAATGAAGATGTTGCGCAGTAAATGGAGGATATGATATGGCTCTAATTAGCGTATGATTATGCGATTACCTTTTTTTGTAAAGATCGTGACATTATTTTCTTCTATTTCCTTTCCTTACTTGTATAAATTGTACATGAACAATTCTTCTCAAAGTCTTTATTCTTTTTCTTCTCTCTCGGCGTACTTCAGTAGCATAGCTGCCTCTCCAATCACCTTATTCTGACAGTATAATATGTCTAATTTAATATCACCCAACACAAAACATCACTACGAATAGTTTAATTCTGTCTAACCTAGCCCTTAGATTTTAATCTAGCCGAGGCTCTCAAACCATGGATGTTCCCAGTATTTTGAAGCAGTCCCGGCTAAACTAAATTTTATTTTCAACAAAAAACTTACTAACTATAACTTTACAAATTAAATGAAAAACATATTTTAAATTGTAACAAAAAAATAGAAAAATAAGATACCTATTTACACCTATAATTGTCATTTAAACCACATCTTCACCTTTCTCTCCATTAAAGAAGTACAAGTCAATCAAACATATAGTTATCACAAAATAAAGTACAGACGCACAATCTGAATCTGAAGGCTGGGTATGTATTAGAGTTACATAGCTAGAAAGCTGGTTGTCCACTATTCAAGAAGCTCTCACAACTTATATACACCCGGTAACAAAGCATCAACGTGTTTAATCCATGTTGTTAGACTTTTTCTTCCTTCTTAACTCAATGGTTAACCGATTTGTTATGTCTTGGGGTAACTTCATTAAAATCTGTAAACTTACCCGAAAGCCTGGATAGGGTGGAAATTATTATAATATATAGAAACAATAATTCAATGGTAACTTGATTAAAAGTTTTAAGGCCTTAATCAATGAAACAAAAAGTAAATGCACTTGGTGACATTTTTATAATTAATTTTTATTATAAATTACTTTAATATTTCATCATAGGAATAAATTAATTATAGAGGGAAATAGAGGGAGAGAGAGAGAGAGAGATCAATTGATGTAAAGTCAGCGTTTAGAATCCCGTCTCAACTGGAGCTTTTCACCTTATTTTTACATTGATAAAAGAAGCAATATTGTTGCACACCAAACCCAGACCACATTCATTCATCAATCAAAATATTAAATAGTTACTTGTTTTATCTAAGTGTGTAAGACATGAGCTGCAGTTTATATAAGAGAACAAAAAATTAACGAAATAATTAATTGCTTGAAGACCTTAATTAGGAGTAAGATGAGAAATCATCAGACTTTCCTCTTGAAGACCTAAGATCAGCTTCACTAGCATAAGAAGAGTAGAAATCGTCATCCATGTCCTTTTCCTTTAATTCTTCAATCCTCTCAACAGCCTCCTTCAACTCCAACCTCTTCTCCACCTCCGCTTCACAACAAGCCAACCCAATCTTTAATAATTTGTTCATTTCCCCTTCACTATTCTTTGTTCCTCCCATATCTTTATCATAAACTTGGCTTTTGTTTTCTACGTAATTTCCATTGCCAACAATCGACATCACCCAATTTGCCAAATCGATTTCACTTCTCTTCCCTTGTTGCAAAAAGTTAGCGGGGAATTTCCCTGTTAGAATTTCTAATATCAATACCCCAAGACCCCATACATCTGTTTTCTTTGTGATTCTTCCATATTGTAAAGATTCCGGAGACTTATAGGCCACCATCAAGTCTTGGGCACTCTCTTGGTTGATTACAGGAATCAATCCGTAGTCTGAAAGAAGTGGCTCAAATGATTCCTTCAAAAGAACGTTTGAGGATTTCAGGTGACCATGAGGTGCTATTAGGCTTGGTAACTCCTTATAAAGATACGCAAGACCCTTGCTAACGCCTTTAATAATTTTTAATCGGGTTGGCCAATCAAGACTTGGTTGCCCCATAGAATGGCGTCCTGAAACAAACAAATTAAACTACAATACTTACCAAAATTGTTCGATAGAAATGTTTTTCAAATAGTATACGAATACAATCTTATAAAAGCTAGTGTAAAAAATAAAAAACGATCCTTTTCACAATTTTTTTATAGTTTTTAATTTAAAAATAGTTTTTGAATATTATTTCAAATACTTTTTTAAATATTAAAAATACTAAAATACAATCTATAAGAGTTTTGAATACTATATCAAATACATTTTCAACAACTGAAAATTTGGAATTGTAGTTTAGCTTGTGAAATTTTGGAATTGTATTACTCGACAATAGTCCTATCATTTATGCAGGTAAATCAAGATTAAAGAAAAAGAATATACCATGAAGATGAACCGCCAAGCTTCCCCTTTGAACAAAATCAGAAACCAACAATTTCTCTTCCTTCCTATAGTAATAAGCCACAAGAGGGAGCAAATTAGCATGCCTTAATCTTCCTAATCTCCTCATATGCTCTTGAAAATCTTCTCTACCAACATTATTCATTTGCTTAAACCTCTTAACAACCATCATTGCACCAGGGCCGAGAGACGCTTTGTATGAAGATCCAAAGCACCCACTGCCCAATATTTCCGCAGAGGATCTCAGCAATCCCTGTAAATCAAACTTTTCTCTGTCGTCTCTTACAAAAGAAAGCTTGGTAGATTGATCACTCTTCTTGCCTCCAACGGCTGAGATTTCCTGTGAATATGTTGACGGTTGCTCTGATTCCCTAATGCCTGATTTCTTTTGGAAGTTTGAGGGTAATGGAGACTCTATTGTTTCGGGTTCTTCTTGTTTCCGCCGACGGAGGATGAAGAGGGTGGCGAGTATGGCTGCCAGTGCCACCACTGCAACTATTGAGAAAATTATTATGGTCAACGTGGCAGTATTATCTTCTGTGGGTAAGGGCTGAGGTGGGGAGTTGTTGGGACCAGGGTTGGGTTTGGGCTTTGGTTCGGGGTCAGATTTGGGGCTGGTCTGGGAGTTTGGGGAGAGGCTATCTTCGCTCACGCTGGGATTGGGTTCGAAGTTAGGTGTGGGGCTAGGGCTAGGACTGCGCTCGGATTTGGTTCCATCACATGAATCCAATGGCCCACCACATAATCCTTTATTGCCTATTACATGTCAAAGAAAGAACGAGACATCAAATTTTAGTTAAAACATTTTTAACTGTTTCAACAATCAAACCAATCTCCTTTTTACTTCTGGTGAACAATTCATTTTTGTTAATCTAATGGTGATGAAAATTGTTTAAATTGATATAATTATTTTTTACACCGTTAGATCAAGAAAGACTAATAACTCATAAGAAGTACCAAAATTAATTATAAGATGATCGACTCATAATTTAAAATTTCAGGTTAATAAATAAGATTTAAAATTGTAAACTGGTAAGATACAACCTTTATGGACAATTAATTTATCATGAATTTGTGTGTGCACTCTTATTCTAATTAGACTAACCCTAGCAATTTTATATTTTATTTTTTGGACAGTTGATTGTGGAGTGCAGAATTTTAATTATGATTATGTTCTACGCTTTATGAATATTTAACTAAAGCTTGCAACATAACACTGTATACGTGAACAAAATATACCTTCATGCATGTTCAATTTCATGTTTTAATTTATTTTTTCTAGAAACTATGAAAGAACAAATAAAAGAAGAATTAATATGGAAGGATAATAAGTTTATGACCTGAAAAAGAGGAAGGATCCAGTTCCTGGAGGCTTGGCGGGATAGGACCCGTCAAGGCATTGTTGGAAACATTGAAAACTTGAAATACATTCTGTTGAAAATCTGGGATCTCACCTTCAAATTGATTCCCTTCCAGACTCAACTCCCTTAATTTAGACAAACTCGTTAAGGACGATGGTATTGCACCAGAAAAATTATTATCTGCCAAATAAAGTTTCTTTAATGAGGTAAGATCCTCAAACTCATCCCTTGGAATATCCCCAGAAAATTTATTATGTGACAAATAAACCGATTTCAATGCACTGAGTTTGCTCAAATCAGGTATTGGACCTTCAAACTCATTATTCATCAAACTTATGGTTCTCAAATCCTTCAATTCAGCTAGATTGCTCATCTCAACTTTGCCTTTTAGCCCCATGTTTTCAAGTTTTAGACCCCAAATGCTACCTTTATTACAAAGAACACCAAACCAATTTGCATCATTCCCATCGCATGGACTGGTTTCATCATCCCAATCGTACAATGAAGACGAGTCCGACAGTGAAGATTTGAAGTTAACGAGGATTTCGGAGTCCGATAAACTAAAACATGCAACAAGAAAATACGTCATCAGGTGAAGAAAAAGAAGTAAAAACAAGGGCTTATCTTGAAGAGTCATGGCATAGTAATCGGGCGTCAGACGCGCGCCCTGAAGAGATGGGGCCGGCCAGCTGCAATGGAGAATTGGTGTTTTTTTTAATTATTTTTTGAGGGGGTGGAGAAATGGCTTGGAAGTGAAGTTGAATTTTGAGGGCGTAGAGAAGAGAGAAAAATGTGCTAAGAATAGGGAAGACTTAAGCTAATTATTTACAAACCAAATTAAAAGAGGAAAATGAAAGGGGGTTTGTATTGTTGAAACAGTCTTTCTTTCCTCTTTGTGTACGAGTGGTGTATGAGAAATTTTCGGTTTGCCTTTCAATGTGACACACTTTTCTTTTATTATATTTATACATTTCTTACTTTTTGTTTTTCTGTTTTTATCTTTTCTATGCCTCAAACCTTATTCAAATCCATCAATTATAAACAATAATATTAATCACCATCCTAACAATTAGTTGTTTTTATGTTTTATCTTTTCTATGCCTCAAACCTTTTTCAAATCCATCAATTATGAACAATAATTTATATCAATCCGCATCCTAGCAATTAGCTGCTTTTTATTTATTTTTTATTTTGTGAAACAAATCAGTCACAAAATTAGTCATATATTGAGAATTTTTAGACTGTCATTACCATTTAGTTCCAATTATTTGTATTTCTCAATGATCTTGTTTTATAGCAACATATATTAGTTGATGATGAAGACATTGAAGAGCATAATAAAAAAAATAAAAAAATGTCACTATGTGTATACTTATTGACATTTATTTATATTGTTAGATACATATTTTGTAACTACTATTTAATCAACGAAAATATAAATAGAGAGGATCTATTTTGTCATTTCAATATTTATAATTTTTTTTTTCTTATTTATCTATACATATAGAGTTGATCGTATAATACTCCATGTATATATAAAATAAATATTTGAAAATTTGAAAATAGAAATAAAATATAAGAAATTTAGACATTATATAACTCCAAAATTGGGTAATATAAATAACAGAGCACATTAATAAAAATTTTAACAATCTCAACCTAATTACATATATACAAATTAAATATATATTAATATTATAAAATATTAAATTAAGAGCAATTAAATTATTTTATTCAATAATTAAATTTTAAATTATATTACATTTTATTAATAATTCAATAATTCAGTAATTAAATATGAATTAATATTTTAAATAATTATATAAATAATTAATGAACTAGTTAAATAATTAAAATATGTTATAATATATATATAGTTAAATTTTAAGCTATTTGTAAAGTTAATTTAATATAATCTAACTTCAATTAAATTTTTCAAAAATTCAAAATTGTTTAAATTATTACATCTAATCATTTAAATAATTAATGATACAATATCTCTCTAATTTTGGTTCTTCGACAAACACATGACCGTACTAAATTTAATCCAATCTAATTCTCTCCAATCCACTAGAGCTCAGTAGCAAAGAATTAGTCCAATCTATTTGTTAGAAGCTACGAGACAGAAAATGAATTGGGAAATCTTTATTCAATCAACTCAAGTCTATTTTTACAACTACTGCGGCTCTTTTAAATAACTAATTATAACCAATTACAATATGCACTTAGACTTCAGTAGTAACAAAAATTAATACAGTAGAACATCTTTATAGTAATACTTTATATAAGAATAACTTTCATGTAGTTATAAAAACTTTCGATCCTAGCTTGAGCCAGTTATAAATAAGAATAAATTTCACATTGTAATAAGTTATAATTTTTCTAAATCCCGTCTTAAGAAACTTGCCTTTACATAGTAATAATTATATACATATTGCAAAAAATATATGTTATGTTACATTAAAGGTTTAAGATGAAATAAAATATTTATCTAAAGTTATTTGGGACAATGATTTATACTTTGGAATTGTTACTACATCATTTATCTTGTGGGTACAGAATAAGTTATAAGCATGAACACCTTCTTGTTGAAACCAAAATATTTCTAACTCTCAAGCATGTTTAGAGCTTCTTGGCATAAAAATTTTGGTATTTCCGTACTGTCATCCTTAAGATTATCTCCTTCATCTTCTTGTCTAATTCTAGTAATGATTTCTTTTTCAGTTAAAACATACACGACTAGTTGCTCATTTATATTTTTGAAGAAGACATTAATATCCATTTGATCAGTGTAGTGAAGTTGTCGAATTCGATCACTCAATTTTACAGTGACTCTTTGATATCTATTTCTGTGCTATCCTAATGCTACTAAAACAATGAATCGAAATCCTAATACTACTAAAACATGAATTATAAAATAAGAAACCAAAACAATAATTCTTGTAAGTACACCTCTATTAAATTATAACCTCCTTATATTAATAAATTTAATTGGTCCCAACATTATGACTATAGAGAGATTCTATTGTATAACTAATATGCCCTCTCAAGCTGATACTGATTGATGAACATCAAACATACCAAGCTTGGACATGAGAATGTGATGTTGTTGCTTGCATAATCCCTTGGTCATCAAATCAGCAGGCTGTTCACTAGGGGAGATGTATGTAGTTTTAATTAATTTTTTATCAATCTTTTCACGAATCATATGACAGTCAATCTCAACATATTTAGTTCGTTCATGGTATACTAGATTAGCAGCAATATGTAGGGCAGCTTTTTGTCACAGTATAATAGTGCTGGTAACAGAAGTTTGATGCCCAAATCAGGGAGCCAATTTTGTATCCAAGTAATCTCGCAACAAGTGGATGCCATCGATCTATATTCAGCCTCACAAGATGATCTGGAAACAGTAGATTGTTTGTTTGTTTTCCAGGAAATTAAAGACTCTCCAAACTTGATATAATAACCAGTTAAGGACCTTCTAGACATTGGACAGGCAGCCCAATTAGCATCACAATAAGCTGCAATGGTGTAATTCTTCTTTGCAGAAAAAATAGGCCAATACCAGGACTCTGTTTGATGTATCTCAGTACTCTAAGAGCAACTTCCACATGAGATTTCTTAGGTGAATGCATGTATGTACTGACTTAGATGTTGACTTGAATAACAAATATTCGGTCGAGTCATACATAAGTAGACGAGTTTACCTACTAATCTTTGATGGAAAGAAGCATCCTCTAGGAGTGGATCATTTGTATAGGTACCAACTAGTTTATCCAATTCAGCAGTCGTCAATTTGAGGTGTTGCTCATATGTAGTGTCAACTGGTTTAGAATCTAGCAAACCAGTTTAAGAAAGAATTTCCAAGGCATATTTGCGTTGATTTACTACTAGACCAGCTCGTGATCGACTGATTTCCATCTCGAGGAAGTATCTCAAGATGCCTAAATCCTTGATTCTGAATTTGGCATTGAGATATCGCTTGACTTCATCAATGTTTGCAAGATTGTTTCCCGTTAGTAGTATGTCATCAACATACACTAATAAGATCACCAAACTGCTCCCATGAGTCTTAGTGAATAACGAGTAGTCATTTTTGGATTGTAGGAAACCATACTCTAACAATGTAGTGGTAAACTTATAATGCCATTGTCTTGAAGCTTGTTTTAGACCGTATAAGGATTTCAATAGTTTGTAAACCTTATTTTTTGTCTCAAGTTGATTATTCAGACTTGGAGAACCTTCATGTATATTTTCTTATTCAAAACTCCTTGAAAGAAGGCATTATAGACATCCATTTGAAAGAGACCCCAATCATTCATGGCTGCAAGTGCTAAAATGGTCCTAACTGTAACCATTTGAGTTGTAGGAGAAAAAGTCTCGGTGTAATCAATACCTTCTTGTTGTGTATCCGCTTTTGCAACTAATCTACCCTATATATTTCAATGCTACCATCTGACTTAAGTTTCACTTTATAAACTCATTTACGCCCAATGGCCTTCTTTCCAGGTGGAAGAAAAACTATTCATTTGATTCTAATGCTTGAATTTTTGTATCCATAGCATTCCTCCAATTATGGTCAATTATGGCTTCTTTAAAGGTTTGTGGTATAGATATGTACGATATGGGTGACTCTAGGTGTATTTTGTTAAATTTTAAACTTTTTTTGTTAGGGTGTTTTAGCTAAATTCTCAAATGTAATGGGTTAAAAATAATGTTCTAAATAATAATAATAATATTAACAATGAAGGACAATTCAGTAAAAACCCCTCGATAATATTTTATTCCTCCCAATCAAACATATTAATTATTTATACTCTTCAATCTAACCAATCATATTAGTATAACATTCTCACATTAATCTTCAAGATAATATATCTCAGTGATAATCTTATCTTTTCAGTGATAAAGAATTTTCTGAAACAAATGCACCTTATGGGTAAGACAAATTTTTTGAAAATTTGGCAGTCATTGTTGGTTCTTCAATAGTTGTGGTTTGGACCTTTAAAAATAATACATACTCTGAAAAACAAAACCAAAAACAAATATAAACACAAAAATTGCACTTGAGTTTACACAACATACAAATAAGCCTAATAATTTTCTAATACCTAAAGTTTTTTCACATCTACACTATAATCAATTACATCGTAAATTTAATACATTAACCTAAGCCTAACTTTGTACAAGCTAGGACCATTTAGATTAGAACCAATTCATATTGATGGATCTAGTTGTTTCCAGCCATATCCATGGCTGTTAACGGCCATAGGCCAAGTCTGTGACCATTAACAGCCATGGATCTGGCCAGCAGTGGCTTGGGTGGGTGGGTGGGGATGATTTTATTAAAATTTAAACTTTTATTGTGGCTAGAGTGTTTTAGAAAAATCTCAAATGTCGAGGATTAAAAGAAATAGTTCAAATAATGATTATAATAATAATATTAAAAAAGAAAGGCAATTCAGTAATCTATATAACATACCTAATTTATTTCTCACAACCAAACATATCACTATAACATACTCAACAATTTATTATAATCTAACCAAATACATTTAATGTAATATTCTTAATAATCTTTAAGGTAATATACATTCTCATTAATATAATATTCCTTGAACTAAATAACTCTTC